AGTAGCTGTGTAGCATTTAACCTATTGGTCTGTCCAGTCTGTGCTTGAGGGTTGATTGTTTTTTTGGGATGTTTTTCAGTTTATGATTGGTTTGGAGTGTTGGGTGGATGGTGGGATTTTGAGTTTTTAGTTGAGTATTGGGGAGGTTGTTCCATTTGCTCGGGGACTATCAGTCTATACAGCGCACTAATATGATAGGATATAATATATAAAAGGTAGAATAGAAAGGATAATAAGGAAGGGGTACAGGGAATAAATGTTAATATTTGGAAAGGAAACAGACAAATACTATTCAATTTTTATTTGTCAGAGTTAATGAACAGTTAGCATAAAGAACTAAGAGATTCAACTAAGATTTTACCTGGAAGTAATAGCGAGAATTCCAATAGAAAGATCCCTTAAATGGCAATAACCAAAGGTATGAAGTATTTAGAAACAAAAATGCAAAGATCTTTTATCTAACAAAAGATGTATAAGATCTATATATGGAAACACTAAAGCTCTTCTGAAAGACATTAACAAGAAATGAATACAGGACGTGAGATAGCACGTTCCTAGAATGTCGTACAGATGTCAATTCTCAAATTAATCTACAAATTTAATGTAATCCTGTTCAAATCCCAAGATAGTTTTTGGTGGCAGCTGTTTGTGAGACAGGGTCTCGCTGTTGCCCAGGCTAGAGTGCAGTGGTATGACCACAGTTCACTGCATCCTCAACCTCCCAGGCTCAAGCAATCCTGCCACTTCAGCCTCTGAAGTCTCTCATATGGTGTCCAAGAAATGGTGACAAATCTCACAAAGGGACTAGGCTCAGGAGGGCTGGAATATTCAGGGAAGGTGTCAAGAAGATGAACCTGAGTTGGCTTTTGAGAGATTCATAGGATTCCCACAGGCAGAGTGAAATAAGGGCATTTTAGATGGACAAACACACAAAAGCAGAAATGCGGATGGTGTGACTGGGGTATGGTGAGGGGCTGCTCTGGCTGGAATGGAGGGCTGTCACAATAATGGAAATGGCAAATGAGGCAAGTAAGGTTGGATTGGTAGCATAGTGTCAAGGTTGCCAGTTTATTAAATCACTCTTCCAATATGCTAGCAGTGGCCTCTTGGGGATCATGTAATCGAACAAAAGGCAAACAGAGGCAAGCTCCAGGAATGGGCACTGTGAACAGGACTCGCCCCAGAGTAGCCAGATGTAGGCTTTAGACATTTTAATGCAGGTTGAGCATCTCTGATCCGAGGGGGAATGTCTCACATGGTCTCCAAGAAATGGTGACACATCTCACAGAGGGCCTAGGCTCAGGAGGCCTGGAGTATGAAACGCTCCCCGTCCCCTGTGAACTTAAAAATGTGGCCATCAACTTTTTTAAAAGATGGCTACTCTGTAGTGCTTTAACTGGACCTTTTTAGACAATGCCTTACACACTGGAAAAGGATGATACTGTGTGAACCTAATAAGTCTACAAGACAATACTTCTCTCTTTTGGCTGTCTCCTTCCTCTCCAGGGTGATGACAACTCCGTGAGGTGGAGATTATACGTCTCTCATCATTTCAGCAACAAGGAAATAAATGAGTGGCAGAGTAAGGGGTGACTTGGTGAGTATATCCAATTGTTGACATCGTTTTGGGTGGGAAAGTTTTGCTATTATATCAACTTCTTAAAATAGTCTAGTGGGATTAACTTGGTTTCAATTCACAGAGACCTCCTGGAAGCGAGGATCCTTTAAAATCATGGAATATACACTGCAGTAAAAGAACAAAGCGTACGTCAGCCTTAACCGACTGAAGAAGAATGTCAAGTAGCAGCAGGTGGGAAAGCGGCTTTGGTTTTGAGTTTGTGGGCTCTGAATCCACACAAAGACAGGACTGCATTCTGAAAACCTGAATTAATTGTGCTTACCTGAATGAGGCAGAAAATTATAATCAAAGTCGTTAGTATTTCGGTCACAAATAATGCCAAGATGAGTTTGTTGTTATATCCATATCCTGGAACTTCTTTTGTGAGCTAACAAAAAAAAAAAAAGAGAGAGAGCTAACTATTGAAAACCCCAGTATTCCAGGTGTGAGTAGCTTACAGGTATTTTTTATTTTTTTGAGACAGAGTCTCACTCTGTCACCTAGTCTGGAGTGCAGTGGTGTGAACACAGTTCACTAGTCTCGACCTCCCTGGGCTCAGGTGATCCTCCCACCTCAACCTCCTGAGTAGCTGGGACTACAGGCACTTGTCATCACCCCAGCTAATTTTTTAATTTTTGTGGAGACAGGGTTTCACTGTGTTGGCCAACCTGGTCTCAAACTCCTGACCTCAAGTGATCCACCCACCCTGGCCTCCCAAAGTGCTGGGATTACAGGCGTGAGCCACCCCACCTCACCTACAGTTCATCTTGTGCACTAATCTATTTCACCGTCTACATGAGCAAAGTGGGAGATCACCGTCATGGCCGAAGTTACATGACCAGGACAAGCTATGGCCTGGGAGTCCCAGGTTCTCCTGTGTGGGCACTTTCCTGGCATACACTAAATGAGGGGAAATCTGGGTCTCATGTTTCTGTGTCGTCCTCACCTCACTCAACCTCTGCTCTTTCTGTTCACTCTGGGCTTCCGTGCTCTCATTGATATAGTTCTCAGTTTTCCACTGTTCTGTATCCCATTCTGCCTTGGATGCCTTTACATCCTGTTGCTCACTGAGAAGCTTCATCAGGAGGCCTGTCCTGGAGATGAGCTTGGCACAGGTCACTTGCACACGGGTGTCAGAGCAGTCCGTCTTCAAGGTCCGTATAAGATGAGAAATGAGCTTTCTCACATTGTTGTTGGGGATGAGGGACCGTAGCTGCTCGCTTAGCTGATTTTCAAACTGATCACCTGGGGATGAGAGCAACGGGTAATTGAAGCTTTTGGGCTCGGAGGACAGGTCAGTGCCCACATTGTTGTATTCCCATTGTGTCTGATTAGTTCGTTTAACAGTTGGCCCTAAGTTGAACGCAGTCCCAGCGGAATCTGCCTCAGGAGGAGGATTGTAGGTTGTGTTTTCAGCGATGGTGCCTTCCGGCGTAGTAGTGTTTTCCATAGAAATGTTTTCTTCAAAGGCATTTCTTGCAGTTGTGTCTTTTACATTAGTGTTTTCTGTAAAACGTTCTGAAGGAGCAAATCCTTCCAGAAAAGGATTTTCCTGAGGACTTGGGTCTCCTAATGAAAAAGCCCCTTGTGAAGGGGAATTTATGAGGCTGTTCACTGCAGAGAATGGCGGCCTGTTTGCGAGCATCAGTCTATCGAGGTAACTTTTCTTTCTGAACTTTTGACTCTTTTTGGCCTTGAGTGTTCTGTGGGCCACGTGGGAGCGAGTTTTATGATAGCGGTATTTTTTTCGGGAATATACAATTGGTTTGGCAGCCTTCATACTTTTAACTCTAGCCTTTCCTTTGTCTAAAATGAAAATGGCGTGGGTTAAGTCTTTCGATCTGTCTCTGACCTGAGGTAGGGCTTTTGCAGGGGTGGAGGCAGAAGGCTCGCCCATGGAGAAGGGTTTCAGCACAGAGGAGACTGCTGCGTTAAGCTCTTGGGTGAACGAAGGCTTGGTGTAGACGGTGTTTCCCACTAACTTCTCACGCCCCTGCTCTGTGTGAGGCTGTTCCAGCTCCCTTGAGACCGGGCTCCCGAGCCTTTTTTCTTGGGCAGCGCTCTCCACAAATGCCTGCGCACCCTCTTCCCTCCTGGTGCTCTGCTTTCCCACCTCTTTGAAGTGCCTTTTCTGGATGCTCCTTGGGCCCGTGAGGACTCTGTTCACTCTCTGCAGGTTGCTGCCTTCACTTTGAATCTTTGCCGGGCTGTTTTCCTGTGGTTGGACAGTTTCTAATTTCTTTTCAAATATTTGGCGTTTAAATTTGTTACCTAGAAGGCTGGTCTGCATAAGCATGGCACTTTTTTCTTCCCTTTTAACTTCATTGATTTTTTCCTGTATTTCTGCATCTAACATATTTTCCAGCAAGTATAGCTTTCTCAATTTATTTTCATAAATTTCATAAGTCGGGTTGTCGGATGCAGGTTGAAGAGAGGGGCTCTTTATATTGTTTTTCAAAATACCCAGGGGCCTATCTCCATCTTGCACATTTGAAGAAAGCTGTTTAATGAACGGTAACAACATTGATTTCACATCTAGATTCACCACTGAGAAATACGGCAAGATGTAACTTAGTGCACTGATAACTTCATTCTCGTCATTGGTGTCTAGCTGCTCACTCCCAAAGCCTGACAAGTTGATGTCACTGCTGTCTGAGGGCCCCTCCGGCTCAATAGTCAGCTCAGTGCTCGTGTGCTTCTTCCGGGCCTGTAACACCTTCATGAACGCTCCTTCTGGATTGCCTACGGATGCTTCTTCAGCTGTGAAAAAAGAAGAGACTGCTTTGATCATGAAAGATGATGGGACAGCATGCATCAGTCCACAGCTGTACACCCCAGTCACACAGAGTAGGAGTCAGCAAACATTCGAGTGTCATTCAGAGAGGAGAAACACACACCCAATCCTAAACCTACGAAATGGCAACAACAAGAGGAGAAAAGACATCTTTTGAAAACATGGCCACCTACTTGGAACATTCCATAGTGTCATATAGAGTAAGTCTGCTTAGGATTATTCCATTGATCCACAAGGGCCAGTTAAAAATACTCAGTCTAAGCCCAAGGTGGAAGACAACTGCTTCCCTGATGAGCTGGCCTCTCTGCAGACTGCTCCGTACCCTGTGCTGTCCTGCCTCACATGCAGAGAGAGTACAAGGCTCCCTCTCTCCTTGTCCTCGGTGTGCCTGTGTTCTTGCTACCATCACAGCTGAATGCAGTGAAAGGCGGTCCTCTGAGAGGAGCAGGGTGGAGATGCTAACGTGGAGAGCCCCTCCCACTGCGGATAGATTCTCATCTGGCACGTGCTCCACCCACCCACCCCATTCTCTGCTCCCACATATCGCAGCCCCATCACAGAAGATGTGGCATGGAAAAAACACTGTGTCCACCCTAGTTCTTAAATTTGGGCAGGGATTCAGGGGGTAGGTTAAGGGATTTTTAATATGCCAGATTATATGCCTATGTTGTTGAATGTACAGTGAATCTATGGTATGACAGCAGTTTCTGGATAAACATTACTTGAGGTCCTATAATGCAGAAGGGAAAAAGCAACTTTTATCAGTTGCCTACTTTGCTTTCATTTTATCTCTAATATTCTGGATGGGGAACCATCCAAAGCTTCTGAATGCATGAACGTCAAGTGTGCCCGTGTGCAGCTGGCTTTCTTTTCCAGAATTAAATGTATTTTGGGTGGTGACGGTCAGAGGAAGAAGTAAAGATTGTGAGAAAGGAGAAACATGGGCTTGGGGAGAACCAATTGGGGACAGAAGACCTGGCACAAGGCTACAGCACTCAGCACCTCTGATCTTGTTTTTCCTCATCTGTAAAAGGAGATTACCAATGCTTTTCTACCCACCTCTTCAGGAGAAGGGAATAATTAGTTAAAAAAAAAAGTTTTTAAAAATAAGCACCACTGACTTTGTGTAGCCAAGCATTATTAATTATCCATCCCGTATCACTGGTAGATACCTGTATTCAAGCTATCTGGACATGAAAGCAGTCACATTTTAGAAGTCATGAATTTGGTGCTAATAAACCTAATCTACAGAAACACTCCTGAAAGCACTTGAGCATTTGTTCTGTGAAGAGAAAGGTTTGAATTCAGAGCAAGTTCAGAGTTAGATGGTCTAAGCATGGAAAAGCCCTCCATTCCATTAGAAGAGCCAGGCAGCAATTTCTGGTTATGGAACCAGAAGCTCTCAGGCTTCAAATAAAACAGCATCACTTGTATTCTTATAAAACTATAAAAACAAAAAACCAAAACCGGATCTACATCTGTCCTACAAGGCCGAGAGTACTCGAGACCTCATGGATATAAAACCACCTTACAGGGCCCGGCGCGGTGGCTCAAGCCTGTAATCCCAGCACTTTGAGAGGCCAAGACGGTCGGATCACGAGGTTGGGAGATCGAGACCATTCTGGCTAACCGGGTGAAACCCCGTTTCTACTAAAGGATACAAAAAACTAGCCGGGCGTGGTGGCGGGCGCCTGTAGTCCCAGCTACTCGGGAGGCTGAGGCAGGAGAATGGCGTGGACCTGGGAGGCGGAGCTTGCAGCAAGCTGAGATCCGGTCACTGCACTCCAGCCTGGGTGACAAAGCGAGACTCCGTCTCAAAAAAAAAAAAAAAAAAAAAAGCAGGTTACAAACTACATTGCACTGTATGAAGAAATTATCACTGGGGACAAAGCACCAAGCAGACAGCACAGTACCCAGTGTGTGGATGTTAATGTTACTCCCTAGCCTTCCCATTCCTTTGTTTTGGTCCTTTGTGCATATGGAACGGTTCTGTTGTTAAATTTTGTAATAATAACTGAGAACCTGACTCTCAGCAAGGGAATAGTTCAGAAATTGAGGGAGTTTAACGCTGAATGAGTAAATAAAAATAAAGCAATTATATCATTAGCTTAAAATTTTATCATTATAAATAAAAAGTTTAAAAACAAATACTTAAAATAATGTTATAATTGATCACCAGGCAATTTGGACTCACGACAATGTATGGTGTTTGTCAGACATGCACTGTTGCAATGCAGCTTGACTGTCTTGCAGACAGCCTCAATGCTGTTTTTAAATTGGCAGAGGCAGCAGGCCATATGGCTAGGTAAGATCCTATAGATGAAAACAAAGAACAATAAATTAGTGGTAAAGAGGTTACTTGAGTAGGTAAAGGAGGCAGGTCAATGCTTTCACAGGGGTAGGCCAAAAGATGTTATTAAAGCCTATGGATGGAGAGTTGGGTAGGAACCAGAAGGCCAATAGGAAGGAGGACAGAGGTGCCCAACCGAAGGGTAAGCATGGTATGCCTAGAATAAAGGTGGTTGGGATTAGAATTGGGTGACACTGATCAGTAGTTTAGTTCAGAAGTATCTCTTCCCAACTCTAAAGTCTCACTTTGGACTGAACGTACACAGGAAGAAGGTTAGACTTCTAAGAGAAGAGTCTGAGTAAGTCCCCAACTTCTGGAGGCCCTTTCTCAATTCCTGTTGGGAGTGGGAAATATAAATTACTCTGGGCATTAAAAATAGTTTAACCTGGTTTGTGGGGTTAAAAAATAACAGCATTGGTCAAATCTGGACAATTCCATCATTCAAAAGAATAATAACAATAAGTTACAACATAGTTAATATAAAGAAGAATCCATGAAGAGTGATATTTAAAAAGAAAGAGGGGGAGTTTTTCTTTAACAAAATAGTGCCAGCTAGTAAATGTAGAAGGAATGACAGAATTTTTTGAAAGTGTCACTTTGCAACCACCAATGTAATAAAATTTCATTCAGACAAGGATTATCATTGATGCACATTTGGGTGAAAAGACATTTGAGAACAGGATCTTCACTGAACTCAAAGTACCAACCCACAGATTATTTATTACCAAGGGGAAAATTAGTATTTTTTATGAGACAAGGTCTCACTCTGTCGCCCAGGCTGAAATACAGTGGCAAAATTATAGCTCATTGAAACCTCACCCCCACTGGGTTCAAGTCATCCTCCAAATTCAGCCCCCTGAGTAGTTGGGAGTATAGACTTTCACCAGCATGACCAGCTAATTTTTTTTTTTTTCATTTTTTTGTATTTTTAGTAGTGACAGGGTTTCACCATGTTGCTCAGGCTGGTGTAGAACTCCTGGACTCAAGCAATCCTCCCATCTCGGCCTTCCGAAGTGCTAGGATTACAAGTGTGAGCCACTGCACCCAGCAAAATAATTACAATGGAGAGATCTGGAAGATCACCTTAATCAAGTGATCAAACGTAGTATTACAGGCCACCTGCGGTTACGAGGCAGGAAGGATACATCACCTATGCAGTATTTTTCCAAAAAACCTGAACTTGAATCTCATCATGAGGAAACCGACAAATATACATTGTGGGACAATTTACAAGACAACTATCTTTGACTCTTAAAAAATGCCAATGTCATGAAAGATCAAAGAAAGTAGAGGAATGTTTTAGATTAAAGGAAACGAAGACATGACATGCAGTGCCTGATCTTCGATTAGTTTCTGTACTATTCTTTCATCTTTCTGGCATGTTTGAATTTTTATTCAAAATATAAATTTGGGAAGAAGAGATAACCAAGACAATTGATTAGTTTATTGTTATGGCTTATTGGGGGCAGTTTCAGAGAGATAAAGACAATCCCTGTAACTGGAGTAAAAGGTCAATTTCAGGGAGTATAGCATGGTCATTAAGAATACAGATTCCACAGCCAGACTGGGATTAAATCCCAGCTCCGCTAATAATATGAATTTGGGCAAATTGCTTAATCTCTGTTTCTCGGCCTTGTCATTATAACAGTACCTACCTCTAATGAATTTTGAGGATTAAATAAATCAATACCTGAAAAATGCCTGGCACACAGTGAGTGCTCAATAGCAGTTAACTACTATAAATATATATATATATATTTTGAGACAGAGTCTCGCTGTGTCTCCCAGACTGGAGTGCAGTGGCGCAATCTCGGCTCACTGCAAGCTCCACCTTCCAGGTTCACGCCATTCTCCTGCCTCAGCCTCCCGAGTAGCTGGGACTACAGGCGCCCGCCACCATGCCCGGCTAATTTTTTTTTGTATTTTTAGTAGAGACAGGGTTTCACTGTGTTAGCAAGGATGGTCTCGACCTCGTGACCCACCCGCCTTGGCCTCCCAAAGTGCTGGGATTACAGGCATGAGCCACTATGCCTGGCCAACTACCATAATTATTATGTTGCAGAGGTTGTGGGGGGCCTTTTCTGAGTCCTCCAAAAGGATGGCTTTATTAGGGCCACATTAAGACTGTGGAGACAGAAGAGTGTTTCATGGATACATGAAGTCTATGAGTTGGGGGTACAATGTATATAGAGTTTTAGATTAAAACTGCATCCAATAAGTTGGCCTGACACATCTTTCAAACCTACAGAGGAATAATCACAAGGGACTGGTATTATTCCTTTGGGTCCAGTGGAAGCCTCTGATCTTCATGTGGAATGGACCCAGAACCGTATCCCAGCATTTTATTATACAGCAACCTTAACTCTGACACAAAGGTGTTTCTTTTGTTTGTTTTGAGGCCGTGTCTCGCTCTGTTACACAGGCTGACTGCAGCAGTGCAATCTGGGCTCACTGCAGCCCCTGCCTCCTGCGCTCAAGTGATCCTCCCACCTCAGCCTCCTGAGTAGCTAGAACTACAGGTGTGTGCCACCACGCCTGGCTAATGTTTGTATATTTCGTAGAGATGGGGTTTCACCATGTAGTCCAGGCTGGTCTTGAACTCCTGAGCTCAAGCAACCCTCTCTCCTTGGCCTCCCAAAGTGCTGGGATTATAGGCACGAAAGCAGAGGTTTTGTATTATTTTCCTGCCCCCAACTTTTTATTTTAAACATTTTGTTTTTTTCCTTTAAGCCTTAGGATGGCTGAAAAGCATTTTTGAATGGTATAGTGAACACCTGTATAACTTTCATCTAGAATCAACAGTTGCTAATACTTTACCACATTTGCTTTCCACGTGTTCTGGACAAGCCATTTGAGAGTCAGTTGCAGACATAATGACCCTTCATTAAATACTTCAGTGTGCAGCCCCTAAGAACCAAGGCATTCTCCTACATAACCAGAATACTATCATCACCCAATGGAACTTAATATTATCATTGTTTACTATGTAGTCCATATACACATTTTCACAATGTCCCAGTCATAACATGGCTTAAACAAATTCAGAATCCAATCAAACATCAGACATTGCACTTAGTGCATGATTCTTTAGTCTCCTTCAATCTAGAACTGTTCCCAGGATTGTTTTAAAGTATACTGACAAACCTTTGAGACTGTAAATGACCTGAGGTATATGTTATCCTTACTTGAGAATAATTTTTCAATATGCATTAAAGATCATTACACATGAGCCAAGACTCAAATGCGCTGGCCTACTTACTTTGTATATCAATGTGTAAACTGAAGACTTCCAATAACGAACTCCCATAAGGCAGTTAGTTCAATGTCTTTATGGCCTTGGTGACAAATGGTTACGGAGAATGAGAGCTTTTTCCTATCCACTAATGGTCAAGAAAAAAGCAGACAGATCCTCACTGTCTTAGAGAACCAAGTGAGAAAGCTGGTCGATGAAGAGGACTTCATCCAGAGAGGAAGGGATCTAGCTGACAGGGAAGATGCTGCAGGAGGCTGAGGGAAGTGAGGCTAGAGCAGTAAAACAGATCTGACAATGTGGTGAAGATAAGAAAGTGACCTGACAAAAATGAATGGAGCAGAGTGCGAAATGAAGGGCCCTTTCCATGCTAATGTTCTATAATGCCCTCAACCAGCCTTAGCATAAATGAGTTTCTATTTAGCTTGCTATATGGTGGGGTGGTAGTAAGTTGCAGTAATTGTGTAACAAACTCACAATAGGGCCCTGCAGGCATGCACACACACACACACACACTTTTTTTTAAAAAAACAGGGTCTCGCTTTGTCCCCCAGGCTGGAGTGCAGTGGTGCCATCTTGGCTCACTGCAACCTCCACCTCCTGGTTCAAGTGATCCTCCTGACTCAGGTTCCCTAGTAGCTGGGACTACAGGTGTGTGCCACCACACCTGGCTGACATATATATATATGTACACACACATAACCTGCAGAGAAGGCCAGGCACAGTGCCTCATGCCTGTAATCTCAGCACTCTGGGAGGGTGAGGCAGGAGGATCACTTGATACCAGGAGTTCGAGACCAGCCTGGGCAACATTAGTGAGACCTCGTTTCTACAAAAAAAATAAAAAATAAAAATAAAATTGCAAGAAAAAAGATACCTCATATCATATATGCAAATTAACTCAAAATAGATCATAGACTTAAATGTATACAATTTGTTGGAGAAGACATAGGAGAAAATCGTTTCGTTGTTGGATTAAACAACAGGTTCTTAAAGATTTCTTAGGTAAAAAACAAAAAATTACAAGCCATTTAAGAAAAAATTGGTAACTTAAAGCTGATCAAAATTAAAAACTTCTCTTCAGAAAACATTTTTATTTTTTACTTTTTTTTTTGAGACGAGTCCCACTCTGTCGCCCAGGCTGGAGTGCAGTGGTGCAATCTCGGCTCATTGCAACCTCCACCTCCCAGGTTCAAGCACTTCTCATGCCTCAGCCTCCAGAGTAGCTGGGATTACAGGCGTGGGCCACCACACCTGGCTAATTTGTGTATTTTTAGTAGAGATGGGGTTTCCACACAACTGGAACACTACTCAGCAATAAAAAGGAGTGAACAGCTGTCCCTCGGTGTCTGCAGGGGATTGGCTCCAGGACCCCCTGCAGATACCAAAGTCCACAGATGCTGAAGTCTTTTATATGAAATGACATAATGTTTGTGTATAGCTTCAGGTATACTTTAAATACCTAATACAGGGTAAATGGTATGTAAATAATTATACTGTATTTTAACTTTTCTACTGCTTTTATTGTTGTTTTATATATTTTATTTTTTCCAAATACTCTCCATCCATGGTTAGTAGAATCCATGGATGAGCAACCTGCAGATATGGAGGGCCAGCTGTAGTGATGAGTGCAACAACATGGATGGTAGCATATCTCAAAAAAACTTATGATGAGTGAGACCAGGCGAAGTGGATCACATCTGTAATCCTACCACTTTGGGAGGCTGAGGCGGGCGGATCACTTGAGGTCAGGAGTTCGAAACCAACCTGGCCAACATGGTGAAACCTTGTCTCTACTAAAAATACAAAAATTAGCTGGGCGTGGTGGCATGCACCTGTAATCCCAGCTACTTAGGAGGCTGAGGCAGGAGAATCACTTGAACCTGGGAGGCGGAGGTTGCAGTGAGTCTAGGTTGTGCCGCTGCACTGCAGCCTGGGTGACAGAGTGAGACTTTATGTCTCAAAAAAAAAAAAAAAAAAAAAGCTATGTGAAAGAAGCCAAACACAAGAGGTGACATGCTGTATGATTTCATTTATAAGACATTCTGGAAAAGGCAAAAGTATAGGAACAGAAATCAGATTAGTAGCTAACAGGGGCTAATGGTGGGAGGAGGGGACTGACTGCAAAGGGACACGAGGGGCCTTTTTGAGGCATCAGAAATGCTTTATATTGGGAATGTGGTGGTGGTTATGTAACTATACATTTGACAAAACTCGTCAAACTGTACCCTTAAAAAGGGTGAATGTTAGTATATGAAAATTACAACTCAATAAACCTGACTTAAGAAAATAATAAAACCTAAATAACCAACTAAGTGAAAATAAATCTAAGAAGAGAATAACTTACAGTTTTTCCAGTTCAACAGTCATCGCGAGAATGTTCTTAAGTGTTGTAAGTGGAACTTGCGTTTTTCCCATGTCTCTGAAGAAGAAAGTCGAAACATTCATGATATGAACCCCAATAAAAAATTCTGTACTTAAAAAGGCATTTCAAGGACATGTGATTACTTCAATTTTAGTTTCTCTATAAAACAAGCCAGCTCAAGAGTTTATTTGCTGTAGAATTCCGGGGAGCTCTTATTAGAGAAATTTAAGTTGATTTGCATCATCAAATTCATGATATTCAAGAGCAGAACTTACACCTTTTTCTTTTTTAACCATTATCTTCTCATTTTCAAATTGCATTCACCATTTTATTTACTCTTCTTTTCATTTTTAGAATAATGAACACCTTTTCCCCTTTGCTTTCTTGGTAAATTAATATTCTTTCATGTGTCTACATGTTCCAAATCTATATGGGTTCTTCAACACTGTTCTTTTCCCTTGCTGGCTTAACAATTATACATCCTCTTTAATTTTTTTCTTTGCCAATAATTATGACATTTTAGCCTAAATGCAAAGTACTTAAGCTTTGATAAAAATTTAAAAAGCATAAATCATCTCATGACTCGTGAGAGTACTATAGTACTTACAGATATTTTAATGCTGGCAATTTAAAGAGATACGGATCTTCAACAGTTGTCAGAGGATTGCGATTGAGAATTCTGAAAAATGGAATGGAATTAAAATAACCTGAATTTTCAATGTGAAAGAAACTGCATGTAAAGTTTATATTCATTTTTTGCTATAGAACTTGTAGGTGAAAAAGAAAAAAATGTTTTCTGTTTATACCTAATAAATCACCATTAGACTCTGTAAAGCACTATTCCTCAGGGAACTACCCAGGTCTCTAGAAGTAGAGGAGAGAACGAGGGGAAGAACTACAAGGAAAAAAAAAGTGGACAGCAAAGAAAAAATATGCCACGGAACTTTTCAGGTCAAAAAACCTACAAGTGACTATGTTAGTAGGAAGCCCTGACTGTGTAGGAAACAGTATTTCTAGTGTCCTCCATAATTCAAGTTGTTCATCTTTTTTTTTTCTTTTTTGGAGGCGGGGGGATGGAGTCAAGCTCTTGTTGCCCAGGCTGGAGTGGAATGGTTCCATCTCAGCTCACTGCAACCTCCGCCTCCGAGGTTCAAGCGATTCTCCTGTCCTGCCTCAGCCTTCCGAGTAGCTGGGATTACAGGCGCCCGCCACCACGCCCAGCTAATTTTTGTATTTTTAATAGAGACGGGGTTTCACCATCTTGGCCAGGCTGGTTTTGAACTCCTGACCTCAGGTGATCTACCTGCCTCAGCCTCCCAAACTGTTAAGATTACAGGCGTGAGTCACTGCAGCTGGCTGCTTGTCTTTTATCTTTATAAAGTTTTTAAAATTTATGGTTTAATTTGCACAGTTAAAAAAACATAGGACCAATTCTTTTGCTTTATAGCCAAAGAAAAAGGAACAAATCTAACAGGAGGAACTGGTCAAAACCCTACTCCCACTTTCTTCTTTTATGACATCACAGCCTTTCTTACATTGCGTGTAATCACCTGTCCACTTGTCGGTCTCCCGGACTATGAGCTCCTTGAGGGCAGAGACTTTTTTTTGATACGGAGTCTCACTATGTCGCTCAGGCTGGAGTGCAGTGGCGCAATCTCGGCTTACTGCAATCTCCACCTCCCAGGTTCAAGCAATTCTACTGCCTCAGCCTCCCGAGTAGCTGGGATTACAGGTGCCCGCCACCATGCCCTGTCTTCCCTGTGCCTGGCATGATGTCTGAAATGTATTAGGCATTTAACAAATGTTTATTGAATAAACAAATGACATTTTGTTTATATGTCAATAAAATGAATAAATTGATTTTGATGCAAATTATTATTCCAAAATGCTGGAATCGATTTTCTGTTTAATTCTTTAAAGTGAACAAGAAAAAGAAAAGAAACAGGCAGAAATAAAAGAAAATCTGCCTTTAGGATAACCAAAGAATCATCATTGTACTTCTGCAGAAATTATACAGATAATAATTATTACAGTGAGTATCTACTGGGTTGCCAGGTATTTGGGATCAGCATTTCACATTTAATCCTCACAATAACCTTATGTGGTAGACATTATTATTGCCCTATTTTTAAATGAGGAAACTGAGGCACAGAGAGGTTATATAACTTGTCCTAGGTCACCCAGCTATTAAGCAGCAAAGCTGTAATTTGAACTCGTGTTTAATCTGTATGAGAAAAGGGTTTACTTTAACCTTACTTTTTTTCTAATTTTTATTTTCGTTCTTCATTCTTTTTCATTTTCTTTTTCCTTCCCTCCTCCTTAATTATTTCTATTTTCTTTCCTTCCTTTCTCCTCTCCCCTCCCCTCCCCACCCAAACAGGGTCTCGCTCCATTGACCAGGCTGGAGTGCAGTGGCATGATCTTGGCTCACTGCAACCTCCACTTCCCAAGCTCAGGTAATCCTCCTTCCTCAGTCTCCCAAACAACTGGGACTATAGGCACGCACCACCACACCTGGCTAATTTTTGTGTTTTTAGTAGAGATGGGGGTTTAATCATGTTGGCCAGGCTGGTCTTGAACTCCTGATCTCAAGTGATCCGCCTGCCTTGGCCTCCCAAAGTGCTGGTGTGAGCCACTGGCCCAGCCTTAATGTTGAGAAGACTAAATACAGAAATGCCTTTCAACCTTCTTCTACTCCTCTGGGAGGACCTCTATGAGAATTACAATTTCTCATTAGCAGTTCACGGCCACGCTTGCCTGTAGTTCCAGCTGTTCGGGAGGCTGAGGCAGGAGAATTGCTTGAACCCGGGAGGCGGAAGTTGCAGTGAGCGGAGATCAAGCCACTGCACTCCAGCCTGCGTGATAGAGCAAAAAAAAAAAGAGAATTACAGTTTCTCTTTTTATGTCTTTCCCCTAATCCTTTCCCATGATTAAATAGTTAATTAGTCTATGGTCAATTAGACTTTTTTTTAAGGGACACATTCTCACTCACTGTGTTACCCAGGCTGGAGAGCAGTGGTTATTCACAAGCACGATCCCACTAGTGATCAGCATGGGAGTTCCGACCTGCTCCATTCCCGAACGGGGCTGGTACACCCCTTTTTAGACAACCCGGTGGTCTCCTGTTCCCGGGAGGTCACCATACTGATGCTGAACTTAGTGAAGACACCCAATCAGCATAGCATGCTACAGCCCAGAATTCCTGGACTCAAAGGATCCTTCTTCCTTTGCCTCCCGAGCGTCTGGGAATACAGGCATGTGCCTGGTGAGCCTTTAGAGATTTAAAACCATGCTGTAAGTGACAGGTCAGGGAAGACCTACTAAGTTCATAAACTCTCACCCCTGGCTGATCTTGAGGTTCTGCAAAAGCAAGAAGTGAAAGCTAAGGCATGGCTGTAAACTATCTGGCTGAGTGCTGAAGGTATGCCCCAACATGTACACAGAGCCCCTTGGCAAAAACTAGGAGACTTATCAGTTCCAGGAGTTTAAACCTCCATTTAATCATTAGCTGATCGGTAAGCTAACCAAGAAGAGACTTCAGTGGGCACACATGATATATAACGCAAGACTGTACTGAAGAAGTTCAGAGAAGTCACTAAATAGCAACTACTAACACAAGCAGCAGTAACACCAAACCCTGGGAGCATGGATCTGATTTTCAAAATACTCAATTTTCAACAAAAATTTATGAAAGATGCAAGAAAACAAAGTATGGTCCATACACGTGGTGGGGGCGAGAAATAAGCAGAAATTGTTCCTGAGAAAGACCAGATGTTAGACTTACTAGACAAAAAAAAATTTTTTTTTGTAGAAGTGGGGACTTGCTAAGTTGCCCAGGCTGGTCTTGCACTCCTGGCCTCAACCTCAGCCTCCCAAAGTGCTGGGATTATAGGCACAAGCCACCACGCCTTCCCTAGAGAAATATTTAATTCAGCTATTTAAAATATGTTCAAAGAGATAAAAGAAACCATTCAGTTCTGTAGACTAGAGAACTAAAGGAAAGTATGAAAGCAATGTCTCATCAAATACAGAATATCAATAAAGAGATAGAAACCATTAAAAGAAGCCAAATAGAAATTCTAGAGTTGAAAAGTATGGTAACTGAGATGGAAAAATTACCAGAGGTTCTCAATGGCACGTTACAGCAGGCAGAAGAAAGAATTGGGAACTTGAAGGTCAATTTAGATTATTTACTCTGAGGAACAGGAACAAAAATGAATGAAAGTGAATGGAATCTCAGAGACCTGTTTGTGGAACACAGCATCAAGCTAACTAACATATACATAATGAGAGTCCCAGAAGGAGAAGAAGAACAGAAAAAAGGAGAAAGAACATTTGAAGAAATAATGGCCCCAAACTTCCCAAACGGTATGAAAGACAATCTGCGTATTCAAGAAGCTCAAGAAAGTACAAGTAGGAAGAACTCAGGGATCCACATCTAAACATACTATAATCAAACTGACAGAAGCCAAAGACAGAATATCTTGAAAGCAGCAAGAGAAAAGCAACTCATCACATACAAGGGATCCTCAGTAAGATTAATAGATAATTTCTCTTCAAAAAACAATGGAGGTGCTGGGCATGGTTGCTCACACCTGTAATCCCAGTACTTTGGGAGGCTGAAGGCTCAAGAATTGCTTGAAGTCAGGAGTTGGATACCAGCACAGGCAATATAGTAAAATCCTGTCTCTACAAAACATTTTTAAAAAGCTGGCCGTGGTGGCGCATGCCTGTAGTCTCAGCTACCCAGGAGGCTGAGGTGACAGGATTGCTTGAGCCTGGGAGGTGGAAGCTGGGAGGCAGAAGCGGTGAGTGGCTGCACCACTGCACTCCAGCCTGGGTAACAGAGGAAGACCCTGTCTGAAAACAAAACAAAACAACCACACACAACAGTGGAGGACAAAAGGTAATGAAATGGCATATTCAAAGTGCTGAAGAAACTGTCAACCAATAATTCTATACCCGGCAAAACTGCCTTTGAAATGGAAGAGAAATTAAGATATTCCAGATAAATAAAAAGTGAGAGACTTTGTTGCCAAAAGACCTGCCCTATAAGAAGTACTAACGTGAAAAAGAAATAAAAAGCACTGGCCGGGCGCAGTGGCTCAGCCTGTAATCCCAGCACTTTGGGAGGCTAAGGCTGGAGGATCACTTGAGGTCAAGAGTTTGAGACCAGCCTGGGAAACACGGTGAAACCCTGTCTCTACTGAAAATACAAAAATTAGCCAGGCATGGTGTTACGTGCCTACAGTCCCAGCTACTCAGGAGGCTGAGGCACTAGAATCGCTTGAACCTGGGAGGCAGAGGTTGCAGTGGGTCAAAACTGTGCCACTGCACTCCAGCCTGGGCAACAGAGCGAGACTCTGTCCCAAAATAAAGAAAAAAATAAGAAAAAGATACTTACATAATGCAATAATTATAAATCTAGTTGATGAATATAAAGAATATAAAGATGTAATGTGTGACAATAACAGGATAAAGGAGGGGGTGAGAGTGGAGCCTTAGAGAAGCAAAGTTTTCATATACTATTGAAACAAAGTTGGTATGAATCTGAACTACAATGTTATAAAATTAAGATGTAGCTGAGACCACAGGTGCGCACCACCACACTCGGCTAATTGTAAAAAAAATTTTAGAGATAGGGTCTCACTATGTTGCCCAGGCTGGTCTCAAACTCCT